ACTTTCAGTTGTGTGTGTGTGTGTGTGTGGTATGTTTTTTAAAAAACAATTCTCTAAACACAATATTTGGGGGGGGGGATTAAAACTTAATTTTTATTAGAATAAAATAATGTGCCTTCATTGGCCAAATCATGAACAATATGGTTTTTCAAAGAATGCTGGATGACTGGAAACAAGTGAAACCAGCCACCTGACTTGGACTAATCCCTTATTTACTTTCCACTCCCACCTCAAAGCTTTTTGAGAAACAAAACTTTGAAAGGAATTCTATAAATCAAGTGTTTAACATCTTCCTTAGAAATACAGAAATGAGAGCCAGAACAATGAGATTTAAGGGACATTTTTCTTTTGACTTTTTTAAAGTTAGTGAAACTTCTTCAAAAAAACAGAGGACAAGCACAGATACTTGAAAACATGGTGAAGACTCAGATTCAACTGCCCACTCATGCTAAGAGATTTTAGAAACCCAAGGTCCTAGAGATGCCCTCTGACCTCTAAGCCAGACCAGCACCTTCTGAGCAATTTGAACAAATGCTGATGCCCACTTCCTCTCTCCCTGATCAGGAATTATGGCACAAAATGAGGTCTGAAGAGATATCAATCACTGTGGGAGAGAGGAGCTATGGGAGAGGGGAACAGGGCTTAAAAGCCAATTGATAAAGCACAGCTCACCATTTCTCGCTATACCAGCCCTCTAGGCCATGCCTTGAAACTTGTCAGAACATAATTATTGCAAGCTGACAACAAACCTATATTCCATGTTCGGAAATGCTTCTGCCGTACCCGTCTTCTATTTAATAACATTTCATAAAGAATTAGATAGAAGATAGATTAGCCTATTTAACTATTAAAGTTACAAAAAGGTTTGCTTATCATCCTCATGAGTGCTTGCCAAGAAGAACCCCAGAAACCAGCTTCCTCACTAAGTTCCTTAGCTGCTGTTAGGCCAAAGCTCTGGGCAGACACCTGGCATGGCCCAGTTCCAGGCGATGAGTCTTAGAAGCACATTGAGAACCCAGAAGGCAGTGACCATCCTAAAGACATGCCTTATCTTTTACATATGTTCCTGGGTAGTTCTGCATAGCTGGTCGACTGAGTAGAGACAAAACAGATAGTTTTTCTACAAAAACTTCTGCTTAACTGACAAGTGGAAAACCAGGCCTGATTGCAATGAAAAATATGGTGCAAATCCCATCCTTTCATTATGGCACATAGAAGCTCTATCTTATTTATTGCTAGTTAAAAAAAAAAAAAAATACTACTGGCCAAAGTTATTTAAAACATGATTCAATTGGTCAATTTTATAATTCTAAGTGTACTCACTGTTGGCAAAGAGCACAGTGGTTATAAACTTCAGAAATAAATCAAGGTAACAGCTGCTATCACAGAATCTTATACAGCAACGCAGGCTATAAACTCTTCAGGGCTATTTCTCATACCCTTGAAAAAAGTCTCTTAGAGATTAAAAGACCGATCTAAGAGGCATAACACTTCCTATCCTGTTAATACCCAGTTTTAAATTCACCTTTGCATGGATCCTATTAAACATGCCCATTCTAACCACCACAAATAACTCTTCACCTCTACCTAACAGCCTTGGCCAGTAAGCTATGGCCTAAGGACCCCTGCAAGTACAGCATGGCACGCCTTAACATGTGCACTTGTAACACGGGGGAAGATGCTCTCTGAATCACGTACATTCAGCAGGCAAGACTGTATTAAAAAATTTTTTTTTCACTTACATCTTTCTGGTTGGAGTGGAAAAACCTGAGTGCGAAGTTACACGATTGGGATGCAGCAGCATACTGACCTAGGGATGCAGCGTATCGAGTCAAAAGATAACTAGGTCAGAAGGAAAGAAAAAAAAAAACATGTTATACTTACCCATCTCTAGTATCACATACAACACTTCAAATTACTATGGCAGAGAAATAACTAGGCATATGGAAAAGTTAAAACATCCTGCCACAGAAATTATCTAATTCACAGAACCAAATTTCAAAAAAAAAAAACAAAAAACCAAAAAACAAAAAAACAACCGAGCAAAGTTAATTCAGTTTTGTGGCGGACCTAAAGTTCTATGCCATGTTTTCTTACACTCAGATGATTAATGGGACACAAGTTGTAAGACAACAGAATGCTATCTTCCTAAATCAGCTCTACATGGGATAGAGAAAATACCCTTGATTCACACAAAGAACAGTCACAATACAAACTCGAAGGATCTGAGGTCAACAAATAAAGGACACGTGTCAACCTCAACTTCAAAGCAAAAGTAAAGACTTTAAAACCAGGTGGGCTAAGAAAAAGGGTTCAAAGTATATAGCTGTTTGCTGTCTCTAAGGAAAACCTTACCATTTCTAAATTGACCAAATTTTAAAATTACTACAAAATACTGGGAGATATAAAACTTTTTCTGCTTTGCAAATGGGTTATAATACATGATTATTTCATCTAAAAAGCTTAATACCAGAACAACTTTACTGCTAAAATCAAAAAGTTAGAATTCCACACGTAAGGGCCCCACACTGGTATAGCTGACTGTTCATTATTCAGAGTATATACTACCAACCCAATGGTATCATGCTGGATATGCTTAGCATCAAGGCTGGAATAAAGATCCACCACTGGTTCAAACGCCCCCAGCATACAGTAGATTCGAACAAGCAGCAATTTGAATTGAGCATTGGAAGGGCTGTGAGTTAATCCCTCTTCCAGCAAAGTCAGGGCCTGCCACACAGCGGTCTCGTCACCTAGAACCAAAACAGAATAGCATTATCCACAGATCTTGAGAGCAAATGGAGGTTCCTCAAAAACAAACAAATTTATTGACATCATCTCCCCTAACTATTCTAAGAATGAGTTTATCTGGCAAAGAACAAATTTCAGATACACACCTGTAAGCAAAACAGGAAATTTACCTGAATAAACAGTCCCTCAATAGTTATCTCTATTCTAAAACATGCATCTGCAAAAATGATGCAAACTTTAAACTGCTGGATTTTGTGGAGGGAAGTTATGGAAGCTCAAAGAATCTAGATTCTGAGAAGAGATGGACTTTGAAAGAGAACTGGAGTCCACCAACCTTCTCAGTACAGGATTTTCTCTACTAGATCCCATAACAGATGCTTTCTCTAGGGATCGTTTTTCTTCCATATGTAACTCTACAACTAGGATGTCAAATAAGATTTGAAAAGAATTGTTCATTATTAATCAAAATAAAAAGATACTTCTTTTAGCCTACCAAAACTCAAAAGGTTACATGCATCAATAGCCTTAGAGATTAAGTAACTTCTCTTCTATGAACCTATCTAAATAACATGAAATGCAGATAAAGCTTTACATACAAAAATATTCACTGTACTAATCATGGGAGGATGATTAAGTAAATTACAGTAACACCTACACATGGAAACATCATATAGCCATTTGACATTAAGGAAGAGGTTTTAGTAACAAGAGGAAATACTTTTATAATAATAATCAGTAAAACACGACACAACTCATATTAGTATGAAGAGTTCATCTTAAGCCTATAAAATACACACAAAGAAAGAGAGAAGGAAATATGCAAAAATGTTAGCATGCCTTTTGGAAGCTGGAAAAGTGAGATTAAAATAAACTGTTTTCCAAAATGTTTACAAGCTACTTTTACAGTCAGAAAAAGAAAACAACTAAAAGCTCCATCCATTTACCTTTTAAAATTATATGCTTTTTTCCCCAAGAGAAAAGAAACAAGATAACTAAAAAGTGGAGCATTAGATAAATATCATCCATAATCCTATGGAAATTATGCAAACTACCTATAATCTGTTTAAACTACCATTAGGATTTTAATGTATTGTTTCTGAACCATAATTACTTTTACACAATAGTAATCATAGCATACATTCAATTTTGTGTTCCACTCTTTTCAGTATTTTCCCATGTTGCTACCTGGTCTTTACACTCATAACTTTACTTAACACTCACTGACCTAAACTTGTGCAACACGAGATGTAAGACTGGGAGATGACAGACAGGTGGTTCCTGCCTTCAAGAGGCTCAGAATTGAAGAGACAGTTGAACAATATACAGAATAGATAATTTTAAGATATCCTAGTTATTCAAGGATAACTAGTATCAGAAAAAAATAAAACCTTCCTACAGATCTCTTTAAAATGGAAATAAAATTTCAAAGTAAATAGCGAAAAAGTAGTTTAATTTATACTCAAACCAAATATTATGAAGATTTACCATTTTATTTTATTTTGCAAAATTTAGGCTATAACTACAGCTCAATACAAATTCTTCACCAAATCAAAAGAGCTTCAAAGGTTGATGAGGTTCCGGAGGACAAAATTTTTCTAACTAAATTTTGTAATATAATAAAATGATACAAGATAAATAAGTTCTAGGGATAAAATGTACGGCATAGTAACTACAATTAACATTAACAGTACTGTATTGTATATTTGAAAGTTGCTAAGAGAATGGATCTTAATAGTTATTATAAGGAAAAAATTTCATAGGTATGTGTGGTGACAATGAAACTTACTGTTGTAATCATTTTGCAATATATACATATATCAAATCATTATGATGTATACCTTAAACTAATAAAATATAATATGTCAATTATATCTCAATAAAACTGGAGGGGAAAAATGAAATCCTTGACTTTCCATTCTACTTTTGTGGCATACCATAAAGAAATGTCTTTTTGCAAAAATATATGAGGTCACCAATTTCCTAAAGCACTTTTCTTAATCCTTTCATATTCAAATCAGTTTCTTTCAACATCCTCAACAATTTCCTATAGATTTCTAATTTTTGCCAGATCTACCTTGAACAACGACTATGCCTATGACTGGAGCACTTCAACATCACTGCCATTGACTTTAAGAAAACTTGCATCTTTATAATATCTGTAATTTCTCATGTATTTGCACTGTATAATTTTGGACAACTTGCCTGACTTTTCTCTCTGCCTGTATTTCCCTCATCCAAAAAACTGTAACAATCTTAACTGTATTGCTGTGAGGTTTAAATTAGCTAATTCGTGTATAGTACTTTCAAGTGCCTGATGACCAACAAATGTCAGCTATAATTATTATTATTAGACGGTCAGATATCTTGCTCAAAAAAAACAAGAGATTAACAAAGCCATAGTCACTGTGAGCAAGAATGGATGTTAGGGCTAATTAGGGAGGGTACTTAAATAGAATCAAATTGCTAAGTAGTCAGCTCATTAATGGTTTTTACATTAAGATGACTGTGACAGCCCTATGCAACCTCATGAATCTGGGGCTCAAATAACAAATATTCTGATAAAAAAGATTTCACCTCCATCCCCCGTACAATACAGTGTAACAAGAACTATCATATAGGTACATATGATGTCCTACAGAAGTTCAGAAGGGGCATAAAATCTGCAGTGAGGGCAGGGGTGAAATCAAACAGGCTTGTCAGAGGCACTGTATGAGTAAGTTATTTCAAACGGAGGCAATGTGATATTCAGTAATAGCAGCAAAAAAAATTTAAAAAGTAAGTTCAGTTTTGTAAATACATAAGAATCTGGAGATGTAGGCAGAATCTAGATTATAAAGAGCATTGTAAACTATCCTTAAAATGGTGACCTTTATCCTCAGGAAAATAGGGCACCTCTGGAGAATTTTAAGCTGAAGATGACACTATCAAAATTGAATGCTCCATGACATGATCCATGAGGGCAGGGGTTGTGTTTATCTTGCATGCTCTCCAGCCCTTTGTTTCTTCTATAGTTTTATTCTAGTGAATAATATGCAATAGTGACTAAAGTTATGTTTTCTCAAAAACTGCTAATAAGAGAAAATTTAAGGGAGTGAGACCTAGAGATGGCAATTTCAATGTCATCTGCTGAATCATCTTTCTCTTGCTCAGTGATTCATGATACTACTTTACCATGTCTTACATTTTTGTTTTAAATGGGCTAATCAGAACTGCATTCCAAAAAGAGTACATTTTCCTGTATATAAATGTTTTAAGTGCATAAAAAGGTCATTCTATTCCATGGGCCTATACAACTATCTCTGAATCAGAGTCTCTGTATTTTATTTATTCCAACTTTGTAATAGGTTGTTTACAATCATTACTCCCTATTCAGAAACATTTAAAAACAAAACAGATATCCACTGATTTAAGATTTTCCTGATTACAGGGAGCGGGATGCTTGGGAGACTCGAGTTCTTCTAAAAGCACCCAGAAAAGGGCAAGAGAACTGGAGTAGTCCACCTAAAAGCATAAATCAAATTCTTAGACTGTATCATTAGTCTAAGGATTTATAGCCAATAAAAACAGCAAGTAAAGTTAAACTGAAATCACTGCTCCTTACCTGTTTCTCTCCATATATCAACAAGCACATGGACAGCAAGGAGACAGTAATAGTCTGAAAACTGCAATTCGG